AATTGTATTTAACAACTGACCGCCACCTATTCACTACCAATGAGGGTCGCCTACCCCTTGAGGATGCGGACATCTGGTGCCGGTTGAAACGTGCGTAGGGGACAACCAAAATGCGCTAGTGGGGAACGGGTGCTTGTGTATTGACGATGATCATAGAGCAAGGAGAGGTGAGATGAGACGCTGGCGATGGTCAAGCTGAATGATTTATCTTAATTTGACTCTGGCCCCTTGATTGGGCTTCTTGCCTATGGAGAACGTATCTATGTGTGCTTGATGCATGATGATGTGTGCAATCTTTCCAGGCTTTGGCGACGCATCACGTTCACTCTCATGTTCTACTGGAACAAAGACGTTGAAACCTGCCGAGGAAGCCGTTCGTACGTGGTGATAACGAAGGTTACATAGGAGGACATGGAAAGTAACGAGGTCAACGCTCCAAGTTAGTAAGGTATGCTATTCGGACCTGGGGACCGTAAGGAGGAAAGGTGAACTCCGGAAGTGGGGCAAAGGGTGAGGACATCGTAACATGGACCAGAACAACCAAGGGAACAACAATAGTCAAGGCGGGCGAAATTGGAATAATGGTGGAGGAGGGAACGAGGGACTGTCGGGATGGGGTGGGAATGGGGAAGGATGGAATGGAGGGGGACAGGGTTGGAATGACAACGGAGGACCAAGATGGAATGGAGGGGGACCAGGATGGAATGGAGGCGGACCTAGATGGAACAATTGGGGTAATGGGGGACCGAGAAATGTTTGATGCTATAACTGCAATCAATTCGGGCGTTACTCCTGGGAATGTATGATGCCGAGACAAGGGGGGGGAGGAGGATACTACTAAGGAGGTAATCAACTGCAAGGGGGAGCGTCAACACAAGTATGGAACAGGGTGGCTAACGGAGGCACGACGATAGGCAACGAAGGAAGGGAAGGGACGTTAGCACCGATGGTAAAATTGAGTAAAGAGTTGAAGGAGTCTCTCAACGCGATGACTGCATTTTTTAAGTTATCTTTAAAGGAGAAGGCAAAGGCAGATGCAATGAAAAAAAAGGAGGAAGAGAGACTGAAGAAAGAGGGGCAAAAGAAAATAACGAAGGAGGAAGCGAAACAGATTGAGTTGGAAAAGAAGAACGAAGAGGAAAATGAGGCAAACCGGAATTGGGGTATCCGGAAGTTATTGAATGAGCAACGGGTGTTCTTAAGAAAGGAAGTAAAATCAACAGTAAACGAGGAGATTTATGATATGGTAAAGCGAGCAGGGAAGAAGCTACTGAAGGAAGACGAGTGCGAGGATTGGGAGGAGGACGAGGAGGAGGAAAAGGAAGAGGAGGAGGAGGGAGTAAAGGAAGATATGAGGAGCCAAAAAAGAAAGAGAGTCATGTCTCAGGCGGGTGCAAATGAGATGAGTCCGCTGACGGAGACACCACCGAAAGTTGCCAGAGGAACTTCCTCGAGACAATCAATTTCCGCGGAAGCATACCTGGTGAAGGAAGAAAGGAAAACGAGGAGACGCTGAAAGAAAAAAGCAGCATCGAGCTTCGAGTTGGAACGAGCTATAAAGTGGAGGTGGCGAAATTCGAAACCGGTTCCGGAGGTGAAACCGATGTATAAGAGTGAAGGGATCGCCTGGAGGGAGAAGAAGGATGAGGCAGTGGAATAATTGGTGGAAATGCGCGTCATGCATAACTTTTTTTAACCTGCACGGGTTCTAGATGTGGGTGTGTGAGGATTGAGGGAGCCCAGTCAGGTCTCCTCCGTACAAGCCGGTCCGAACGATAGGGTCGGAGATACAGTCGAACAAGAGGAACAAGAAAGGGATTCTGAGCAAGTATAAAGGGCGTGATTTCCTATTGGAAACGCTCGCAATAAGAGAAAAGTTGGGGGTGGGTCGGGACCACAAGCGATTGTCGAGTATAATTGATAGGATCTGCCGACCACTCTTGTTGTTTCTAATCGTGTGGGAATGTATTAGCCATGCAAGTAAGTTTTGAGAATTTTCTTATCGAAGCGTATGATAGGAATCCGTATGAATGGTTGTGTGCGATCTCTTGTGTGTATGCAGTCCTGAGCCCGTTTTGTCGAAAGTTCTAAATAGGGAAAACAGAAAGGGAGCTTGAGGTAAGATGGCGGGAGCACATACAACAAGCAAGCCAACATGGAGGAAGGAATACAGAAACTCTGACGCCACACTTCGTGCCGGCACACGGACAAAAAAGTTGAAGGCGTTCCCGAATTTTCTTCGTAGAGGCAACTTCGTTGCACTTAGGATCGCCTGTATTAAGGGTCTTTGTTTTACATGATCAGTATGATTCTCCTGTTAACAAAGAAAATCATATGTAAAACACAGGCCGCGTTGGCGGAGATTTCACAACGGCCTGTGGAGTAATGGAAGTCTCCAAAGTTGACTTGCGTTTAACTAATTTGAGCTTATTTATCCTTATGAAACCTAACTCTAAATTGTCTATACCATGCTGTGTTTCCTATATATTACTGTTATTATAAATGATAATATTTGACGATATATGCCCCAGTAAACCGTACGCAGAGAGGGAGAAGAAGAAAACAAATGAGGGCTGTGACAAACTGTTTTGTCGGACTTTCACGGACTCACCCTATATATCGTCACAAATAGAACTGCCCGGTAAACCGTAGGCAGAGAGAGAGAAGAGGACAACAAACGAGGGGCTGTGACAAACTGTTTCGTCGGAGTTTCACCAACTCATCAGGAGGCTGAACCCTCAACAGTCTGCAGAATCCCCTCACTGATTACACTGTAAATGTTTATATATTGACGATATATATGTACACTAACATGAACTTGGCCAGGTGAATCCAGCAATTGATTTGGAAGGTCGCGCACCTTGATCTCCACTCTTCGGATTCTGCATCACAGAATCAGTCCTGCTAATGATTAAATTCCAGCTGTCACTTATCGCAACTAACATTTGAAAAAAAGTTACAACTGGAAAGTAAAGAGAGAGGGAGAGAGAGAGGAAGAGAGAGGGAGAGAGAGAGGGAGAGGGAGAGAGATAGTAGGCAAGAGGGGGGAGAGAGGATGAGAGCGAGGGAGAGATAGGAAGAGATAGGGAGAGAGAAAGGGATATAAAGAAGGAAGGATTGAATTTATTTTTAAATTTTAATGCAAATCTTCTGTGTATCGTTCCAATGTTAATGGATACCGCAGTTAACATTTGAAATAATTGTCAAAGTAAACGTTTGCTGACGCGGGCCCTTTGTTTTTTTGAACCAGAGTTTATGACTGCCGACTCTTCTGACTATGATTCGAGCTTGTTGTCAGAAAAGAAAAAAGATAAAAAAGCATCCGAAAAACATTAAAAATTTCGGAAAAGAAAACAAGATGCTGTTGAATATGGACCTTACCCCAGACTGGGTAAGTGTGACCTGACAATACCTCCTTCCTCGAATAGAAATTGAGGCATTGAATCTGTATCTGACCTGAAAATTGGTACTCTATACATACACATGATTCTCCATTCAATCTGCATAAAATATGGATTTCAACATTTTTCAAGCCATCCAATTTGCAAGCACCCCGTCGATCCCATCCAACCGGCCACACTACTCAGGTTGATCAGATTGTTCAGCCCATGATTGATCAGCTGTCCATTCCTCACCTGCCCATCCCCTGCCCACGCCTTCCTCCCACAGCACACACACACACACACACACACACACACACACACACACACACTCCTGATGACTTGGTGAAAGTCCGACGAAGCAGTCTGTCACATTCACACTTTTCTTTGTGGAGGTAAGTATAGCGAATATGACGACACGCATGCACAATAGGGCACACAATCACACACACAGCAAACAAGAGAGAGAGAGAGAGAGAGAGAGAGAGAGAGAGAGAGAGAGAGAGAGAGAGAGAGAGAGAGAGAGAGAGAGAGAGAGATTCCCGCCATTTCCATGTGTCCCCTCTCCTTCTTTACCCCCCTGTTCCTTATCCTCCGTTTCTTCCCTCATCCTTACCTCCCATTCCATTCATTCTATTCCCCCTTTTTTTTGTGGAGGGGGGGTGACTCTTAAATTCCCGCACCCCTTTGTACCAAATGTATTCGAACCCTGAGGAGGAGGACGGCGACAAAATAGGAGGAGAATGAAGTAGATTAGGAGGAGGCGAAGGAGGAGGAGGAGGAGAAGGAAGACAAAGAAAGAAGAATCCTTTGGGACATCCGTTAAAATTGGAACGATATAGAGAAGAACAGCATGCCTCCTGCGCAAGGATGACACACATAAATCGAGAATTGGTCCAAATTACAAAAAAAAAGAGGAAGAAAGAAGAAGGAAGAAGGAAGAGGAAGCAGAAGAAGGAAGAGAAGGGAGAGAAGGAAGGGAAAGGAGGAGGAGGGAGAAAGCCCATTCACCAAGAAAAATGAGAAGAAGAGGGAGAGAGGGAGGGAGGGAGGGAGGCACGAAAGTTATCACAGAGTCACAAGCATAAAATGATATTCCAGACACAGCTGGGAGGTAGGTAGAGCTCAATTTTGAACAACTAAAAAAAAAAAAAAAAAAAAAAAAGAGGACAACAAAGGAAGAACTACGGCAGAAGCAAGCGAGGCTGATGACGAGCGCTGCAAAGAAAGTGGCATCAGGTAACACTCACTCAGGAGGAGGGAGAAAGCCCATTCACCAAGAAGAGTGAGAAGAAGAGGGAGAGAGGGACAGAGGGAGGGAGGAAGGCACAAAAGTTATCACAGAGTCACAAGCATAAAATGATATTCCAGACACAGCTGGGAGGTGGGTAGATCTCAATTTTGAAAACCTTGAAAAAAAAAAAAAAAAAAAAAAAAAAACAACGAAGAACTACGGCAGAAGCAAGCGAGGCTGATGACGAGCGCTGCAAAGAAAGTGGCATCAGGTAGCCCTCACTCAACCATTACCATGCCTTTGGCAAATTCACAAGCAATCACTTTACCAGTCATGGCAGGTCCATCTTTAGTGAGATAGCAGTCTCTATCCTATGGCTGATCTGACTACTATTGCACACTTTACTCTTCTTTTCCGTGACGCCGACGTGCCTGTCGGGACCGAACCTGGCTTGCCTTTGGAACCGATAACATAACCTTGATGTGGATAAGCTGTGAATAAGATTCAGACCAGATCCCAATACCCCCATTTTGGCCAAAAGGCCATCGGTCAACATAGCCCGCCTCCTGTCACCCCTGTGGCTCTCTCGCGTCAATCCCCCTCTGCACCAGTCCGCCACCCTTCCCCCTCTCTCAACCTGGATGTGCTGAGATGTGGAGATCTTAATTGGACTCAGGCGCACTTAGTCCGATTCAGGCTCGAAGAAAAGAAAGAGAGAGAGAGGGCCCAGTTTATTGTATAATAAAAACAAGAAAGAAAGAAAAGAAAGAGAGAGTGCCATACGTGATCGCTGCGCCCTCAGACCGAACCCAATGATGGCTGACGATTACAGTTGGTCACTGATGGTCACTGATCCATCGTCGATTAACTTCACAAAATGTCGGTACTTACATTTTGACCAAAAGGCAATCGGTCAACAGAGCCCCCTCCCGTCACCTTGTGACTCTCACCTCCAATCCTCTCCTCCCCCCC